TATCTAATTTTATTCGATATAATTTAAGAAGAATGAAATGTGGAAGATTAAAATGATAAAAAAAAAATTAACATGTATTCAGATAACATTTTTCAATCTAGAAGCTAATATCTACCTATTTGTACTATATATATATTTTTGCCAAATGTATTTTAAAATCTGAAAAATATAAATATAAGTTTTAAATCCACTATATTATATGTATATATATAGATGTTTAAATCCACCATATTATATGTATATATAAATAATATACGTACATATCAAAACGGATATTCAGATTTTAAACTTAGTATTGTGATTTGATTCGTTTTAAACGATACTAAATTTTATTATTTGTTTCGCTTTGGTTTATAATGGATATCCACATTTTCGAATAGAATCAAATGGAATAGTGAAACAGAGCAAATCTAACTAGTAATTTGATCATACTTGATTTTTGGTGATGATTGGAGTTGCTCTGAATTACTTTTTAGTTTTATTTAATTAATTTTTAAATAAACTCTGATTTGATTTGAAAACACATTTCAAAGAAATTAGAATCTATATCATAGGGTACCGAGAAATAAAGTTGATGGTTTATGACACATTTATCGAGTTTCACACACCTATACATGCAGCCAACCAGAACATAGGAAAATGTGGTAGTCGAGTGCCATAGCCGTCGTTTATTTTTACTGGAAACTTAAAAAAGAAAATTGAGAAAGCAACCCACAAAGAAGAGCGAAAACCCTAAATGAGAGGACTGTAGCCATGTCCTTGTTGACTATATTATATAATGCTTCCTTAGCTTGTAGCCTTGTACTACTTTATTTATCTCGGTCTCTTCTTCCTACGTTCGACAAAGGTTAATTAGTCTCTTGATCATTTCTTCGTTCTTGACTTACCTTGTCTTTACTACTGATAGATGCTAATTTAATTTGTGTGTCATGTAAAAATGTACACGTACCCTTGATTCCTAGCTTGTTTTCTTTGGTTTTTTTGGTTGTATCTTCAGGCGATGGAAGATGATATCAAAGCATTGGAGGTAGAAATTAAAGCTTTAGAGGAGGAATCCAAACGTCGTAAGAAGAATCTCCAAGAGAATATAATCCATCGGGATCTCTTAAAAGAGAAAAAGTATGTGTTAGTTCTCGAATCTGACGACTTGCAGAGACAACTCTTTCTTCTGCATGAGAAGAAGAAAGCGAGTTACGAAAGGATAGCTGAAGTAGAATCAAGGAAAGAGATGATTAAGCAAGAATATAAAGATCTGCAGCTTGAGATTCATGAAACAGTGGAACAGTTTCGTCTGCTCCATGGTTACAAAAAAATTTGAAGAAAAATATAAAATATGACTTAGCTCTAATTATTTGCTTGAGATTGTGTTATGTTTCAAGTACTTCATGTTCAAGTATGATTATAACGTTGTAACATATTCAACCTTTTATCGGATAATATTGTAATATATTTCAACCTTTGTCGGATGATATTTTCAGATTTGGTGTATAATGTCTTTCTTATGAAATATTGGAACGTTAAATTAAGATATTTGTCTGATTAATCCGTTGAGATTAACCTTTTGGTATTAGAGATTGATGAGAGTTTAGGATTGGAAGCCTATTATATTACTCTCATGAAGATTGAGTAATATACAATATACAAGCTTATACATAGGAATACCATTAAACCTAGTTTCCTAACTAATGTAATCACAATAAGATATATATACAAATCTCTAATAATATTCACAATACTATTATTGATCTTATGGATCTTCTAGATCCTTAAATACATGGTTCGTTTTTACAGAGAATTGAGGCTACTGTGTTTTTACATAAGGTAAAAGCTAATACTTTTTTTGTTGGGATGATGAAAATTAAAAAAATTTAAAGGAAGAAGAACTAGACATGCATCTCCACTCTCAAAATGTCTGTGCCATTCTCACTTCAGAGTAATTATCTGTTTGTGAACAAACTCAAAACCGTCAAAACTAAAACGATATGAAATGAGTTGTCCGAATTATCTGAAACTAAAAAATTGAAAGTAATCTAAATTTTTCGAAATTTGTCGGGAATATCCATCCCAAATTGAATCCTTATAAAAATTAGAAAGAGTTTTGAAACGTAATTTTACCTTAAATTTTCTGAATACGTCATGTTATAAGATATTTCTTTCAATTCTGAATTATTCGTTCTTAACATTTTCTAGTTGTTTTCCCATTCTAATATCCGAAATGCTCTCAGATATGAATCGAAAGGTTTAATTGAAATGAAAAGGAAAAAAAAAAAGCCCAAGCCCATTGAAGCCCTACAAGTGACAACAATAGATTACCTTCCTCCACCTCTATCGAGTCGAAGAAATCGACGCGAGAGAGTAAACCCTAGCAGACAGTAGTAGAAGCTCCTTGTGCCTTTTTCCGTTCACGACTAGAGAGGAGAAGGAAAACGCAAGATGGTATTCGTCTTCTTCGATCTCTCTTCGTTTGCTTTTTAGAGATTTAAAAAGAAGATTGAATGATTAATGGTGTTTGTTGTGTTGCAGACTTTCAAGCGTAGGAACGGTGGGAGGAACAAGCACAACCGTGGCCATGTCAATCCGATCAGATGCTCCAACTGTGGCAAATGCTGCCCCAAGGTTTCTCCTTTTCCTCTCAATTGGGTTTAATTCGATGATAACATTCTATAGAGTTTGATTCGATTTTGGCCCATTTTGTTGTTGATTAGGATAAGGCCATTAAGAGGTTTATCGTGAGGAATATTGTGGAGCAGGCTGCGATTAGAGATGTTCAAGAAGCCAGTGTCTACGATGGTACTTTTGATTCTTGCTCTGTTTTGTTATACATGTACTTTCAAAGTTTGGATTTTTGGTCAGTTTCACTCTGGATTT